CCTCGGCCCCAGAGACTCGGCTTCAGGAGGTGGGGCCCGGGCATCGGTATCTTTAACAAGCTCCCCAGAGATTCTGGTCCACGGGCGGGTCTCGGAACTGCCACTAAATGGAACAGGGAAGCCCAAGCTTTCGGGGAGTCAGGCCCAGAAGACCAAATGAAACAGTGTGAAAGAAGGGGGGAGAAGGCGGGCTTCTGGTTGTTCTGCAACACAGAAGCAGGAATGATGAGTCAGGCAGAGACGGAACAGACTGCAGGTCTCACGTCCATTCGCCACCTGTTCGTAAAGGCGGTGGTTTACTGAGCCCAATGACTCCGTCCCAGACCCTTTATGTGGATTATCACAGAGTCCTCCAATAACACAATGATTACTAGGTATTAGGCACCTAATTCTATTACCTAACAGCATTAGGTGCCACCGTAACCTCTTTTTGCACACGAGGAATATTAAGCAGCGAGCAGAGAACAGCTTGCCCGCGGTCTAGGGCTGGTGGGTGGCCGACAGGGGTGCAAGCCTGGCAGTCTGTCTCTGGAGCTCGGAGCTCCCTGCAGCACCGTGAGCTGGGCACACAGGGGTCTCCAGTCCCAGCCTGAACGTACGGGGCGGCCGGCACAACCCAGGCATGGCCAGCGTGAGGGATGGCAGGGTAGTAGAAATGCCAAGGGAGGGTAAGCGTCCTCGAGCAAAGACACAGGACGCAAGAAAGAGGTTTGTGGGTGCGGGATCAGCCTCACGACGGACGGGAGACTGGGGCAGCTGGTCATTCCCTGAGCAAAGGCTGGTGCTGGGGATCCGGTGGTGGACGGGAAGGGTGCTGCCCTTGACCTCACGGTGCCCATGGCTCAGTGATGGGACAGACCTGAAGTTTGTTCCCCAGATATTCATTTAATTACAGGGACCTGGCCTGGTTCGGGGGAACAGCGTGTGTGTGTGATGTTCGAGACGGGATCTCCGAGGAGATGCCTTTAAGCTCTGCTCTGACGTCTGCGTAAGAAGGAGTCCCCCGCAGAGGGAACAACATGGTACGAAGCCCCCAAGGCAAGGAAACGGGCTTCATTGGAAGACAGAGGACTTCGGCTGGGCTGCCGCCAGAGTGAAGGGGGTGTCCTGAGATGAAACCAGATCCTCTTTGTGGACGGTCATGCCAGGGAAAGGCAGGAAAAGTATTTCAGGCCCAGGGAACAGCCCGAGGAAAGGCTCAGAACCCAGAAAGGGGCAATGGCCACAAGTAAAGCCTCCTGAACCCGAGGCATTGTTCTACAGGCTTCGTACCCACTGTGTGGGGTGATGGGAGTTTGACTGCGAGGACAGTGAACAGGGACAGGGTCGCGGGGGTAAAGGCCAAAATGTGTAAGTCGTGGGACTGTCCTGAACTTGTGGTGGCCGCTGGCCGTGTCTCCTCCCCACTTACAGCTTCCCTTGGACCAGCAGTAAAATCAGAAGGTTGCCCCCTTAAGGCCTGTGAGTGATCAGATCATCATATTTCAGTGTTTTAAAAACTCGGCAGAGGGGCACCTGGGTGGCTCAGTCGGTTAAGCGTTGGCCTTCGGCTCAGGTCATGGTCTCGCAGGTGACAAGTTCAAGCCCCGCATCCGGGTCTCTGCTGTCTGCGTAGAGCCCACTTCAGATCCTCTGTTGCCCTCTCTCTCTCCCCCTCCCCCACTCGTGCTCACTCTCTGTCACCCAAAAACAAATAAACTTTGGGGAAAAAAAACCTCAGCAGAAACATTCTTGTGGATGCGTCAAGAAGACAACTACAAAACTTTGCTTATTGCCAAAAAAAATGGAAACGCCAACACAGGACAGCATCAGCAAGGTGCAGGTTGGTGGCCCGCCCGCCCCCGTCAGACGTTCTCTCCACTCCTCAGCTCCAGGTTAACCACCTGCTGAACAGTGTCGGAGAAAGGCTAGAAGCAGCCTGCGGACTCCGTCAAGCTTATAGATGTATTCTGTTTGGCCAACGAAGTTTGAAAATGTAGGACATTTTTTTTTTAATTTTTTTTTTTTCAACGTTTTATTTATTTTTGGGACAGAGAGAGACAGAGCATGAACGGGGGAGGGGCAGAGAGAGAGGGAGACACAGAATCGGAAACAGGCTCCAGGCTCCGAGCCATCAGCCCAGAGCCTGACGCGGGGCTCGAACTCACGGACCGTGAGATCGTGACCTGGCTGAAGTCGGACGCTTAACCGACTGCGCC